ATAGACAAGCTCGCTATCGTTGAATTGCTCTCCTTGACGAACGGAAGTGGAGCGTCCCCGCAATCCATATCTGACACGAGCAAACAAGCTCCCATCTCCGATATGAATGATGCCGCTGGAATGACGGAATATCTCAACATGGAAGGTTACCAGGCCTCGTTTTCGCCACGAGATATGGGACCGGGGTCTAGCGTGGCGATGCCTTGCAGTTCGAGCTATACCCAGCATGGCAAGTACAGCGGCCATTTCATGACCCACATTTCCCTGCAAACCTATACACGCGATTCTACGCTAAGGTGTAGATAGTCGCCAATGGTGTCATTCGCCATTGTCAACGTTCATCTCACGATGATCTAGCATTTAACTGCTCTTGTCGTCTGCTCGAAGCGTCGTCGGAAGCAGCGCGCGAGGAAATACTACTACCTGATGTACATGTTATCGATCAGCCCAGTCTTGACGCCTCTGGGCTTTGCGGCGTTCTTGGTTGTACTTGCGGTTGGCCTGGTATGGCGGACGCAGAAGACTTCGAGCAAAAAACTCTCTCCATCTTACGACGTGAAGCAAAAAGGTGCAGTTGATCAGAACATCCTCAATTTGAAAAGGACTGACCTCTCCAAGTCCCATCTATACCATTCAAGACCCCGCTACCGCAGCCGGCGGAGGACTATAAACTTGAGCTTACAGATCCCAAGCTCTATCGACCCTTCCGCCATGGTCCGAACTTTGTAACAATGGGGATCCGGAAAATGGATTGGAACCAATGGATTGAAATGGATTCGAATTTCATCCCTTACCACGATGCCAAGGTTCGGGAGCTCGAGAAGGACGTCAAATCCCGGGTACAATATGTCGATAACGAAGTCACGCGCCTCGCATGCTTTGAGGTCCTGGAAGAGTTGACGCAACATCTCACGCATCGCTATCCGGAAGTCTTCCAATTGCACGGCAACATCCTTCACAACACAGTCACTGGTGAAATATTTCAATATCCAGCACCGAACCCGACGGAAGCTATGGTTACCGCAGCAAAGCTTGTCCAGGACGACCTGGTTGTCATGGTATTGAATGACGATGGCCAATACCACATCGATGCGGGCGCGGTCTGCCTACCTGGGTTCTGGCGTTTGACTGAGAAATACCGCATGTCGCTCGACGAACTGCATATTGAAGCCGGTGTACCTCATTACCAAGAGAAGCTGCAAAAGGCAATGAATCGATTCTTCGCAAACATGACCTGTGAGAAGCCTGTCATTCGGAATAACGTAAGTAACACCAAAATCACTCCAAATATCGATGTACCCGTGCTGATAGACCTGTAGTTCTTCATCCAACTCGACGACGGTCTTGCGTGGTCCCACCGCATGGGCGATCAGATCTCCAACACAGTCGCCTCATGGGCCACTGCCAACTCCAAAGGTCTCCGTGTCGAAGACATCCACTTCCGCTCCGAACGGCAATCTCTGCGACGTCTACCGAAGTCCAAAGCTCTACTGTTCACCATTCGGACGTACTTTGAGCCGGTGACGACTATTGCGAAGGAGCCGCATGTACCAGGAAGACTGGCTGAGGCGATTAGGAGTTGGGATGAGACGGTTAGTTACTACAAGGGACGAGAGCATTGGGAAGGGTTGTTACTTCCATATCTAGACGAGGAGCATAGGAAGCAGGTTGATAGTGGGGTGTTGGAGAAACCGGAGGGTGAATTTCCGTTTTGAGTGTAGATCCCTGTCAGACCTAGTAGAGATATACTTTGTTGCATACACATACGCCTAATTTTACCTGGGTGGTCTACAATATGGACCAGTGCTTCTATGCCTGCTACTCAGCGGATGAGGCTTGAGCTTCAAGCATGTGACCTTGGGCCAGGTAGCCCATATATCTCACACCTTTAGCATAGCAGAAGCGCTCCAATGCCACGCTGCACCTTTTGCGTAACATCCGGTTCACAACACCAGGGCAGCTATGTTGAGTTTGCCGCATACATAATTTCAAATGTTGATAAGTAGGTAGATCTAAAGACAATGTACACTCTTGGGCAAGAACGCCACCAGATGTATGAGATGCAACCTGGTGGGTTCTTCAACAAAAGGCTGGAATCTAGATACATGTGCAATCTCCTGCACCGGAAGAGGCCATGATACAAGAGTGAGGAGGGCCACAAGAAAGAAGAAAGCGTGATCATCCGACAACCAGGGAAAAGGAATGCTACACCCTAGTAAACGTCATCCACTTCGTCAGGCGGACCCTTGAACTCTGGGCAATGTCAGTAGATACTCCAGCCGTGCATGACCATGCAAATAGACATTGTAACTTACTATTTCTGCCAGAGACCGCATACCACAGCCCGCTCAAACACGCAAAGCCGACCAACACGACACTAGCGTAGTTCATCGAAACCTCAGTAACAGGAAGCGCTGTCGGCATGCTAAAGAGTACCAACTCGAAGAGAATCCATGCGACAGCACCGATGTTCGCTGCGGTGCCCACCAGGCCACCGACATTCCATTTGGCATGTGCGACTTCTTTCCGGCCCGTGAAGAGAGAGATAGCGATGGGGACGAGGTAGCCGATGGCGAGTGCGATAACACCTACGGATGCGAAGGCAGTAAACGCACTGCTGGAGCCGAGATTGATAAGACCGAGTAGCATCTCGATGATTGTGACGAACGTAAGCGAGTAGATGGGCCGGTCGGCGATGGTGCGTGTCCACAGGCCAGCGAGTGGAAGCGCGTTGTCGCGGCTGAACGCCCATGTGCAGTGTGAAGCAGCAGTCGTGATTGCAATGGCGCAGAAGAGGGTGACAAATAGGATCATTATCATCAATATCAGCGCTCCTGTCTTTGAGCCCATGATAGAGTATATGATGTACGGCAGCGCTTGGCCGTAGGGTGCGTTGAGGATGTCTTCGAGCGGCGGTAGCGTAAAGCATAGCGGTAAGACGAACAGGAGTGACGCGAGACCACCGAAGGGTATGCAGAGGGCGATAGCGCGAGAGACTTCAATCTCGGGCTGGGCGCACTCTTCCGTCATTGATGTCACCATACCAATGGCAGAGAAGGCGTATGCTGGTGGGAGGAGACCGATGAAGAACGTAAAGCCGGTACCCCAGCCCGAGAAGCTGCTGTAGTAGTTGCCGAGTGCGTAGGAGGCTGAATGTCGCCCTTGCTGGGCGCGGACTGATAGAGCAACCAGAAGTGCGATGATCGTGATGAAGTTCCATACTGCGGCCACGGAGTCCACATACGGTAACAGCTTGTCTCCGAGTGAACAAACAAGGAACACCAGCACACATAGCGCGTAGAATATAAGAAGCAGTTCCCAGTCCGATGCTACCCACTCTGGGTTGTAGATCGATACCGTCGCCGCGATGAGGGAAGCGAAACCGAAATTGACGGAAAGCGCAATGGTCCAGTTTCCGATGAGCCAAAACCAACCGGTCAGGAACGAGACGATCTTGCGTGTCCTCTTGCGCTCACCACAGAGTCGGTACGACCAGTAGTACACACCAGAAGATGTTGGATACCGTGATGCCAACTCTGCAAGCGAAATCGCGACACAGCCATTGAAGAACAGGACAACCAGTACGCCGACGAATATCGACAGTTGGCCACCACCATAAATCGCGCTCATCAAGGGGCCGCCGATGCCGTAGGGTACTGCTACAATGGCAAGGCACATACCCAGAACACTAATGAGCGACCGATTCTTCGTGAGCTGCGCATTGTATCCCAAGTGGACGTGCTCAACGACACCCTCCTCGCGGGTAGTCACCGGACCCATAGGATTGCCGAGCTTCTTCTCGCTGTTGGTCGCCGACATAGTGGGAAAAGAACGATTGTCGAAATCAAGAGGGTAGGAATGATGCGGCGTCGAGTGTCTGCACGAGGTGAATGAATATAGCTGTTACAGGCAGTTCCATTTCATGCAGTACATGCGCTATGCTCGACAATGTGGCGTCCAACATGATAAGATATGACGATAGTTCGTTGTCCACAGATAGCGAGCATCGCCCATACTGGCTCTTTACCCCGGACTGAAGTGTCTTGATTCGAGGCCAAGCCTGTATTGACTGCATCGCTACTGACTCGTCAGAACATCGCTTCGAGATAAGCGGTGGCTTGAATAGTTCTGCAGACTACAGCATGATAAAACAACCAAACCGGAAGTTCTAGCGTCAATGTAGGCTCCAGAGTGTTCGGTTTTCCCTTGTGCATGGTGCAGCGATGTCCTGTTTTGGAAGGATGATAGGCCTCTGGTAGTCGTTTCCGGGGCCCCAGATTTCGCGTGTAGAGCGCTCGCACATGGCCTTGGTGAAGGAAAAGCTTATCTTTCGCTCAAGCCTTCGATGCGCCGTCAGATCCGTGCCGCTGGAAACATACCAGAAACGTCTCGAAGCTCTGGATAACGACTATGCCCAGGAGAGCAGTTTGGAGGGCAATTTCAAAGCGTGTGCTTGCGTGCTCGAGATGCCGATCTGACATTTGGGCCCTGACAGTGGAGCCTCTGCATTAGTGTGGTGCTAAGCCGAAGATGGCAAGTTGACGGGCAAAGATGGCCTTGAGAAACGCAGACTACCTTATCACTTGACGAAGTCACTGGCCAGCGCAAAACGTGGACAATGTGATCAAGTCGACGCCAAAGTGTTCCTTTGGAGTTCCGATTCTGCCATGTGGACGCCTTGTTGATGGACCCACATTCAGGAAACCACCACATGCCTTCGGCAGCGCGTCTTGGTCAAGTTCTTGTCTTGATTAGGAAATTTGATGGGCATAGTTTCTTGGAGTATGATGATAGTCATCGCGAGTCTGATTATGATAATGTGGGACAAACGTCTTTGTAACCTCGGTGCGGGGTGGGTGTGATGGAGACGCGTTGATCGAGGGCGCAGGATATGAAAAGACCAAATGCCTAGCTCTGTCCACGAGGTACATATTTCTATCCTCGTTGTATAACACTTCCTGCATCTTGAACCTTCTTTTGCCGCATACATATCTTCCACAATGGCCCAGTCGATCGACCTTATAGCACCTAATGGCGCGAAGTGGACACAGCCCACTGGTAAGCATCAACAACTTTAAACATTGTAGGCCTGAAAAACTAACATTGGTTAGGCCTCTTTATCAACAACGAATTTGTCCCCTCCAAATCCGGCTCAACACTAGAGTCGATAAATCCTTACGACGAGTCCGTCATCGCAAAGGTCTCCGCCGGTAACGAAGATGATGTAGATGCTGCAGTCGCTGCAGCACGAGCTGCCTTCAAGTCATCAGCATGGCGCGACATTTCTGCCGCCGAACGAGGCCAACTGCTGTGGAAGCTCGGAGACCTTTGCGAGAAGAACAGCCATATTCTTGCTACCGTCGATGCGTGGGATAACGGCAAGCCTTACCAGCAAGCCATGGACGAAGACGTCGCTGAGACTATCTCGGTCTTCAGGTATTACGCAGGATGGGCGGACAAGGTGTATGGGCAGACGATTGAGACAAGCAATGCGAAGCTGGCGTATACCAAACACGAACCCCTTGGTGTCTGTGGACAGATAATCCCATGGAACTTCCCTGTCATGGTATGTATCCATCGACTCCGGCTGGTGTAATTCAAACCTAACAAGCCTCATAGATGGCTGCTTGGAAACTCGGTCCAGCATTAGCTTGCGGAAACACCGTTGTGCTCAAGCCAGCAGAGCAGACACCACTTGGGGCACTATTCCTGGCCACCTTGATCAAGGAGGCTGGTTTCCCTCCAGGTGTGGTTAACATCGTCAACGGCTACGGAAAGAGCGCAGGCTCGCGGCTTTCTGAACATCCGAATGTCGACAAAATTGCTTTCACAGGAAGCACCATTACCGGCCGGGCCATCATGAAGGCTGCAGCAACGAACCTGAAGAACATCACTTTAGAGACTGGCGGCAAGAGCCCACTCCTTGTCTTCGATGACTGCGATCTCGAACAGGCTGTGAAGTGGTCGCACATGGGTATCATGGGTAAGCCCTTTCTCTTTGCAACGTCCACTGCCGGTATCAGTACTGACCAAGCCGTCAAGGGAACATGGGCCAAGTCTGCACAGCAACATCCCGGCTCTATGTCCAGGACACCATCTACGACAAGTTCCTCGAAGCGTTCAAGAAGCAGACCAAAGAGAGTACCAAGATTGGTTCGCAGTTCGATGCCGACACCAACCATGGACCTCAAGTCAGCAAAGCTGCCCAAGAGAAGATTCTTGCATACCTCGACACAGCGAAGTCAGACGGAGCTGAGCTCATCTTCGGCGGCCAGCAGAGCGGCATACCAGAGAAGGGATACTTCGTCGAGCCGACTGTGTTTGCCAACTGCAGCAATGATATGAGGATTGTGCGCGAAGAGATTTTCGGTCCTTTTGTTGTTATTCAGAGCTTCAAGACGGAAGACGAAGCGGTCGAGAAGGCGAACGATACGGAGTTCGGATTGGGAGCGGCTGTGTTCACTCGGGACATTATGAGGGGCCACCGCGTGGCAGGTGCGATCGAGGCGGGTATGGTTTGGATCAACAGCAGTCAGGACTCGCATTTCGGGATCCCCTTCGGTGGCTACAAGCAGAGCGGTATTGGGAGGGAGCTGGGCGCGTATGCGCTGTCTGCGTACACGCAAGTGAAAGCTGTCCATGTTAACTTGGGCACGTTCTTGTAGACTTACTTTTAATGGATGATGATTGGAATATGTACCATTTCGATATATCGCTACACATGCAATGTGGTTGTTTGAAGAATAATGATGTTCCTACGCAGATGAGATCTTGGGCGAAGGGTGATGACGCAGCGTGTCATAGTCGCGTCGCGTCGGATTAACACCGCTCCACGCTTATCTCCGTCTCAACAACCGCCACCGAACAGCACCTTCCACGATATCTATTGCAACTCTAGACTCAACACCCGTTCCTAAGCTCTTCTCCGTTCGAAAGCCGGTCATCGCATGCGCAAAACCCTACAATGGTCCTCGGCTTTGAGCGCATCAACGAGCGCACCCAACGCCCGAACGCGCACATAAACTTCATACGCACACTGCCCGGCCCGACAGCGTCCACGGCGGAGAACATCCTGAACCGCGTCGCAGCGATATGCTACCCATTCATGAAGTCGCACATGATCCTCGTTCAGGCGCTCGAAGAATTCCCCTACAACAACGAGTTTGTTGGCCGCAATTTCAACGCTGGAGAGGTTATACAACTGGTGCTCAGAGACCGAAATGGAAGATGGCTGCCACAGAGGATGGTGGAGATGGTCATGGTACATGAGCTTGCGCACTGCAAACATATGAATCATTCGAAGGCTTTCTGGAAGGTTCGAGATGGCTACGCGGTGGAATTGAGGGCGCTTTGGGCGAAAGGGTACACTGGTGAAGGACTGTGGGGTAGGGGTAGAGATCTGGATACAGGAGCCCTACAAGCGAGCGATGGCGAAGCTATGGATGTACCCGAGCATCTATGTGGTGGCACATATGGACGGAAGGGAAATAAGAGGAAGAGGAGTGGAAAGGAGAAGCCCATGCTGAGCTATGCGGAGAGAAAGCAACGAAGGATAATGAAGAAGTTCGGAGCTGGAGGCCAGGCATTGGGCGCCGACGATGACACAAAAGTCAAGCTGGAGAAGGGTGTTCCAAAGAAAGGCAAGCCTAGGGTCGCTGGCAGTGCACGAGGACGGGATCTCCGAGCTGCGGCGGCATTGGCACGTTTCGAGCCAGTCAAGAAGGAGAAAGAGGTCGTGATAAAGAAGGAGGAGCCGTCATCGGACAGCGAAACTGAAGACGAGTTTGTAGAAGGCGATCAAGACGGCGCAGCGGTAGACGTAGATGGCAAAAGCATGTTCGACGACAAAGGTCGCGCCCTGGTCAAGATCTGCGAGGACGAAGACGACAAAGATGGCGATGCAAGGAGGGAGATGGACGAGATACAAGTTTTTGCGCCGCAGCCCAAACCAACGAAGAAGACAACCTCGTCCAAAGCCTCGAGCAAGCCAGCACCGAAGCCAACGAAGACTCAAACTGCATCAAAGGCTGCCTCGCGATTCACTGCCAACCCAAAACCATCATCAGGCCCTGGCAACTCCCTTCCTGAGATCTTCAACCCCCGTCCCAAACCAGACACTTCTGCCTCCCAGCACCAATCACCACAGAGCTCTGCCTGTTCCATATGCTCCCTTGAGAACGAGGCCGGGGCATTGACCTGCGTCGCTTGCGCAAACGTATTAAAGAAGGACTTTGTACCCGACCACTGGCGATGCAAGAGCGCTGCTTGCGAGGGAAGTCAATACATCAACGCCGGGGACGCAGGTGCTTGTGGCGTCTGTGGGATGACTAGGAAGAGATGAGATGATCAAGCGTAGCTGTATGAGGAAGAGCTTGTCGCGGCGATGGCGATGGAACGATTATGATACCCAATTTTCTTGAGAAATAACAACACCACTATAATGCACTGCATTCCGAGCAGATCAAATCCAGATGTCATGACTTCATTCCATGCAATAACGCTACGCTAAAGTCGACAGTGGCAAACCACAAAACCCATCCCATGATGATCAACACCAAGCCATGCATAGTAATGACCAAAGAACGCCTTTCGCCTCCCACCATTCACGGGTACTGCAAGTCCTACCTCGCAATCCTCAGATGCGACGCTCCTAAGTTTTTCCTCGCGCTAGTCGGCATGCCCGCGCCCCTTCCACTATTCCGCCTCATGCCCTCCAACTTCGCCTTGAGCTGCTCATGTATCTTCCTGTTCTGGGCCCACCCATCGGCCAGCTTTTGCATCCGAATGGCGGCGATGACAGCGAGAGCTGCCGATTTGAGTTTGGGTCGACGGTCGTGGACGGTGATGTCGGGGGTGATGCCCATCTGAGAGATGAGATTGAGGTCTTCTTGATTACTGGGAGGTGTTAGTGGTTGTACTGCATAGAGCCTCTGGTAAAGGGGTGGAGACATACCATTCATTGTAAGTCTGAATTTGCATCAGGAAGAACTTCTTTTGGTACCCAAGGGCTTCCCGGAATGCCTCTGCTCGCGAGCATCGTGCGCGGAGGAACTGGATCTGCTTGGCGAGACCGTTGATCTCTTTGATATGGCGCTTAGTAAGGGCTTCCGCCTGTTCGTCCAGATCAATCGCATCCTGGTTGGCCTTTTGTTGGATGGACTTCGAGGAAGCTTGGATGAGACGAAGCTGCGATTCCTTCTCACGGAGATGAGACTGTAGGTCTCGTAGTTGACGCTCAAGGGCGGATTGCTGTTCCCGTGCTGTCGACTTGGCTTCAGATAGAGATTTGCGGTGTTGAGCATCCTTGTCGCGGATCCGTCCTTCAAGATCGCGGATCTGGTTCTTAAGAGCGGCCTCTTGTTCGCGCTGTGCCGCACGGGTCTGAGATTGCAGGGCCCCGTTTTCGTTCTCCTTTTCGCGTATCATAGATTCCAGAACGGTGATCTTCTCTTCGAGCGAGGCCTTCTCCTCGGCGACTTCGTCGGCATCCTCTTGCAGAACTTCTATTTCAGCTTCGAAGTCGTCCTTTTCCCGGCGAGCGTTCTCCTTGAGCTCCTCAAGTGCTTCCAGGCGCTCTTCTGCAAGTCGTTGTAGAGCATCAACTTGGCTCCTCTGCTCGTTCAGCTCGTCGCGCAAGTTCTCTAGCTCGTCGTCGCGTTTGCGTACTAGGTCCTGCATAACATCGATTTGGGTATCGGGCTCGTCGGCATGGCTCCGTAACGCGTCAAGCTCGGCCTCGCGCTCGGTTATCGTTCGTCGCGCCGTATCCAGCTCCCGGGTCCTGTCACTGAGGTCATTTCTGAGCTGCTTGAGTTCTTTGAGCGTCATCTCCTGTGCTTCAATCTTCCTTTGCAGGCCGGCGATATCGCGCTCACGGGCTTGCAATGTTGATTGCGAGCTCGAAAGGTCTCGAGATAGTGCATCCCGTTCGCGCGTGATCTTCTGAAGCGCCTCGATCTGGGTGTCCTTGCCGGATACAGCGGACTGTAAGTTGCGCAATTCGCTCTCGATATCTTTACGCTCCTGCCGCAGAGTAGCCACTAATGTGTCGCGGTCGTTGTTGCCTCTGCGCAAAACCTCCACTTGCTCATCCTTGCTCGACATCTTGGAAACCAAGTTGTCGCGCTCACGGCGAAGATTGTCACGTTCTCGTATGGCGTTGTTGAGCGACTGCACCTGAGCATCTTTGCTGTTGAGGTTTGAGCGAAGGCCGGTAAGCTCCTGCGTCGCATCATCGCGCTCACGTCGTACTCTTTCCAAACCATCCAGATCGCGGTCTTTCTGATTCAACTCGCGTCTAAGCTGTTGCAACTGCTGTTCGTATGCGGATGCTTCCCGTTGTAGGCGTGAAATCTGCTGCATGGCGTCTTGATGTTGCTTCCGGAAGTCGTCCAGCTCATCGGCTCTGGATTCAGCAGCGTCAACCCTTGACTGGAGAAGTTCAATCTCAACGCCCTTTTCACGGGTAATTTCGACCACCTTCTGTCTGGCGTCGTTGGCGGATTGCTGCGCCAATTGGACCTGGTTGTCACCCTGAGACTCTGCAAGCTCCAAACGTTCGCGCAGTGCATCCATCTCGGCCTCCTTCTCGTTCTGGATGGTTTGGAGGCGTCGCTGCAGCTCTCGGAGTTCAGCATCCTTTTCGCGCTCCAGTGAACGTAGACGCTCTTCGAGAACAGAGAGTTCCTGGCGTTTTTGCTGCTCTGCAACCTCGAGATCATGTTCCGCTTCATCCAGGCTCTCGTTCAACTCCCGAATTTCCTGGTCCTTGCTGTCGTCGGCGCTATCAAGCTTGGACTTCAAGGCGTTGATTTCAGCGTCTTTCTCGCGCTCGACAGTACGAAGTTGTTCCTGGAGGTCCTCGATCTTCTCGCCCTGGTCAGCCACCTGCCGCTCTTTTTCTGCGGCGTCTTCTTCTTGTGACTGCTTAACCGATTGCAGCTGTTCTTCCAACTCGGCGATGCGTTCGGCTTGATCTCTAAGTTGGCGGTCTTTCTCCTCGTCGCCGGCAGACTGAGAATTTTGCACATTCTTCAGCTTCTCCTCCAAGTCCTTGATCTGTTCGTCCTGGTCGTCTAGCATCTCGTCTCGTCTGTTGAGCTCTGCTTGTGCCTCGTCCAACTCTGCTCTGACCTTGTCCAAATCCTCGCTGTCGCCACTCTCTTCTTCCAGCTTCCTTTCGAGACGCTCCACCTCGGCCGCGCGTTCGTCCGCTAGCCGTCGGAGCTCGTCCATCTCTTCGCGCATGCCTTCGTCGACGTGCCGTCGCTTGACCTTCTCCGCGTATTCCCGTAGCTGTTGCTTGTATGTGTCTAGTTCCCTCTCGGCCGCTTTGAGGTCTTTCGAGTAGTTCTTGATATCGCGCGCCATTGTGACCTTCTCCGACTTAAGGTTGATGTTCTCCTCCATGGCTTGTCGGTTGAACTCGGGGCCCATCTTCTTCAGGTTCTCTTCCAGGAAGTGGATCTTGAGCTTTAGTCCGAAGTTTTCCTTGTCGATCTGCTCCAGACGCTGCAGTTGTGTTAGAACCTGTGAGTAGTCGTGGCCGGGTGAGCCCGGATATACATACCGCTTCCTGCTCTCTCAGCGTGAGCACATTGCCGTTTCCGTTGTCCATTTCGCCCTCTGCCCTTCTTGGTAGCGCGGTGGGCGTGCTCATAGCACTCGAGCTGGGGTCTGGCAGCTGTGTCCGGCCATCGACCGAATCGGCGAAGGAACTGGATTGTATGTCGTACATGCTCGCCTCGGGCAGCGGCGTGTTGCTCACTTGGAAGCCCGGCTTCATCGCGGCGGGCGTCGTGATCTTGCCGTCGAGCAGTCCGTTGACCTGGCGCGTGCGATTCGCGGTTGCGCTCTTCAGCATGGGCGTGAATTCGTTCTTCGCGGTTTGTTGGCGTCGGGATGCAAGCGGCTGTCGGGGGGTTCGGGCGCCGCCCATTTGTTTGAAGAGGTTGTCACGGTCTGTCGGCGCATGGAATGTCTCCTCCATGCTGAATGAGGGCTCGTTGACTGTAAAGCGCGTCATATCGCCAACCTCGGTGCGAGGTGTGTCCGGTAGGTGCGCCATGGTATAGAATATACTCTAGCAGCGCATGAGTGAGAGAAATAGAACGGTCTTTGGGGCGCACCTCAGCAGTGCGGATGCATCATGTTCCACTTCATCATACTCCAGATGTTGTTTGTTTAGGGACGCTTGGACCACGACAGGGATACTGCCCGCCGCTAGCCCATGCAGGCAAGGAGCCGAAAAGCGCGTCTGGAAGTCACGTTACCTCTTTGCCGCCTACACCACCTGGGCAGAAACTTCATCCCAGCATTGAATGTTCCCTTATAACTAAGTACACCGATATCCGCCTCTCGAGAGCAGTGGAGATACATAAACACGTCCTAGAACTACCGGATCGACAAAATCCATACGAGCGTTGGGCTCAGTCTCGGAACGAACAATAACGAAGTCAAGTTCCATCTAATCGGCTCCGAAGACCAAAAATAGCACCACCTGGAATATATATCCTAAACCATGGACGGACCCCAAGATGATCTCAAGTGGTTTGGCGAAGGTTTCGATGGCTTTCCCAAAAAGCTGCCCGACGATGTCGTGGAGTACATGGTCTTTATCATCGATTCTAGACTCTCGGACATTCAGACAAGGGAACGGTTGCAAGCTTTCCAACGCGCTTTGAACGCATTGGAGAAGAAGTTCCTTAAAGAGTACATCTGGCAGCGTGACTCTCTCAAGCTCGATCTAGCTCGCGAAGAACACCGGTGGCTACTCAAAGGACGCTCTAACTACGGCGATAGTGTGGCAGACGAATGGCTGATTGTCTATTTCCTACGTGAACTGAGTAAAGAGTTCAAGGACGCATGGATACGCATATATGACAGCGATGGAGAGTTCCTCCTGATCGAAGCTGCCAATGCACTACCGAAATGGCTGAACCCTGAGGTTGCCGAGAACAGAGTCTGGATCAACAGCCATCGCCTACTAATCATACCACTTGGGAAAGAAGAGGAGCCCGGCCCTTTAACTCAAGCCCAAGCCATTCAGATCATCGAGGCTACACCAGCACGACCACAGCAGTATATCAAGGTTGAAAAGGAGGCTTTTCATCGCCTAGCTGGTTATCCGGCTGCCATCTCGGAGAATCAACATCATGCGACTCTTCCTCTGCCAAGGAAGGTTGCACATATTCTGCATAGCAACCCGTCGTACATCGCACCAGTAGTCGAAGCCTTCTATCTTCGAGACCCCATCTCCATCCGGCTCATCCAACCTGAAAAGTCCAAAACCCCGCTCACGTTCCCACCGGAAGACTTTGTAGACGTCAGCGTTCGTTTCACTAAAGTTCTTTACGCTCAGCTTCTCGGTCAGCATTGGGAACCGCCCGCGCCATGGGACGCAGCACTGGAGCAGCTCGTCAAGTCTGGTAGACCGACCGAGAAGGCAGAGATCGGAATCAAGATTACAGCAGGCATGCAGATGCTTCTGTCGCACTCTTTATACACATCCCGCAAACCGACGCGCGAAATCTCCCTTCTACTGGAAGACTTGGAAAGTGGTGACGACACACTTCCTACCGACGCCGAAATCACCGGTTGGCCCAAGCGTGAAGACGATGAAGGGTGGCTCAACATTGACTTCTCCGAGTTTGAGAAGGAGCTCGAAGGCAAAGGAAGCGGCGCGAAAGATGCGTTTGGTGACAAGAATGCGGAGGAGAATTTGAAGAAGATGGTTGCACGCTTCAACGACTTCCTGGCCGACAACGAAGCAGGCGCTGAGGGTGCCAATGGGGTTCTGGACCCCATGGATGTTGACAATGACTCTGACGCTGGCGGCAGAGGATGGGAAGACCCAGAAGATAGTGATTCGCCAGTCGAGAACGAAAGCAAGAGCAAGGGCACAAGCAAGGCAAAGGTCAGGAATAGCGAAGATGAGGACGACACAGATGAAGACGACGACGCAGAAGCCGACGCGGAGTATGCCGAATACGAACAAGCCTTCGAAAAGTACATGATGCTACCCGCGGCGGAGAAAGCCATTCTCACAGAGGAAGCTCGCGCACTAGCGCTCGAACAAGACGCTGAGAAGGAAGAAGACGAAGAGATCCGGAAACTCAGTGAGATGATGGAAGCTGAGCTCTTCAGCCATGGTGCGCTGAACGTCAACCCCAAATCGGAGCACAAGCCCGGAACAGGTCTCCTGTCCGACAGCAAAGGAAAGGGCAAGGGGAAGCTTCAAGAGGTCGCTGAAGAAGACGAGGAGGATGATGACGATGACCTTCTGGACGAAGACTACAACCTCGCTGATAACATGCTGAAGGCGTTTAAGGGACAGGCTGGCATGGCGGGCCCTGCGGGCAACATGATGAGGGCGATGGGCGTGCAATTTCCACAGGACGCTGATGATGAGATCAAAGGAAGCAGTAGTAAGAGTAAAGGCGCGTAAGATGTCTAGCACGTACAACTATTTAGCCCAAAAAGTTCCGTATGAGTACCTTATGTCCCTTCCTCCATCCACTCATATTTATCTCTGCCCACTGCCACTTCCAGTGCCTCCGTTTCCACTTTGACCCCATTCTCCTCCAACGTACTGTTTCGCATACTTACTAATCGCCTGTATATCGGCGAACTCTCAGCGACCAACTTCCTTCTTCTGTTTATTACCTCCGTCTGACTTTTCCCTTGTATATTCAGCATCTGCGCAAGCTCTTTGTCCTCTTTACCCTCTACATACAAACGTAGAATCGCTTCGTCATCTTCCGGAGTGAAATCACAAAACTTTTTGCGCCGCTGTAGATCGATCACATCTTGCGGTACTCTTTTCATGGCCTTGAGGGCTTGCCATCTAGATTGTATCGCTTCAATCGGGACGTTCATCTCGCGCGAGATAGCCTTGGGCTTCTGCATACGGCGGTGGCCGTCGATCACAGCGGCATCGAGTTCGGGAGTCCAGTTTATGGTGGCGCTCACGTCTCTTTGTCGGATCATGGCGTAACGATGCTGAGTAGCATGTGCGGTACGATTGAGAACCTGCGCTGCTTGTTCATAAGTCATTGTCTCTACCTCAATGAGACGGATGAGTTGGCTTTCCTCATCGTAGTTCCATCGACGCTTCTCGGCCGGGGCTTTCCGGGGACAGGATTCGCTGGGGTATAGGGCGTCCATGATGAAACAAAATTGAAGGTCGTCCTTTGAGTGTTAACGAGTTGAGTAAGCCGGTTTTGTGAGTGTTAGTAACATTATTTGGGCATAGTAGCCGAGTATATATCTAGAGAGGAGAGTGGCGGGAAGCGTCAGCTGTGACATGTGTTAGGCACCAGAAAGCGATCACAGCTTGAACATGAATTCACTTTGTATCGAATGCGATCTCGTGCCCTGGAAAGAGTACACGGGCAAATATTGTGTAGCTCGGAGAGGCAGTCCCAGTCTAGCGTAGACCCCTGCAAGGTAGCGATCAAAGTCATGACACCGAGTGAATGCGAATATTCCCGATACGAAATAGCTCATTCTAGTAGTGCGATTGGCTTTTTCACAATAAATGCAAAGCAAAAAGGTCCTAATGAGGTCGGAAATGGATGAGTTGAATCGAGGGTTATCGCACTGTTGACCAGGGGATCTAAAAAGACCCAGGAAGAATAGTGCGCCCACCCGCCAGAAGTACTGGATGCTCATATGACCTGTGAAACGTCCAATGCCAATATCACAGGCTCCGTATCCTCCAAAAGTCATTCACATCTCCCTATACAATCCAAAGATCTTGGTTGTAGCCACCCTGCTCATGTACTGCCCATGCTCGCTAATCAAACACCATAAACTCCTCCATGAACTTGTCTGCCTCCTCGTCATTTGGATTCGTCCTCTCCTTCTCGTGTTGATAGACCGAATGGACTGCCTGCTTGAACCACCGACCAAGGTTATACCTCACTTCCTCTTCATGACATTGACTGAGCCACCCAGGAGTGTGGTACAGGGCTGTTGCCGTCTTGCGGCAGCTATTCTGCACAGCCCGCAGGACTTGACCGTGAACCTTCCACCTTCTGTCGTCACCGCAGACAGCGATCCCATATTCTCCAATATGCTCCTTCGTAAGCGATGCCCACTCGGCCGCGAGGTAAGGTCCAACAACGCTGCGGAGAACGAAGCCGCTTTGTTCCATGAATACGCCGGAGGAAGGATGTGGTAGTTCGAGACAGATGTAATAGTAGTCGCCGTACTCGTACGCAATGCCGATTCTGTTCAAGTCTACAGTGTTGGGGTTGAAGGTGAAGAAGCTGTCTCGGAAGTAGCAAGAAGGGCCATAGTTGGGAGCGGGCTGGTCACTACCGGACGCCGGTAGAGGGGCGGTAGGATCGCTAACCTTTTTCGCAGTCTGGCGCGCTTCAGTGCCGGTCACCAGGCTGTCTGATCGTGCTTTGAATTTGGAAGCGTCTGGAGGAGATTTGACCGCGTCAGATGCATTGTGACGAGGACGCCGTGTGATGATACTGTATGGATATGCGTTGACGTTGATTTTGAGTACCGAGATAATGTTAGATGCTTCCGTTACTGTAGTTCGCGAAGCACCGTATTCGCGTTCCGCCATTTTGTAGGTAATATGCTGTCAGTCAGAGGTGGTAGAAGGAAAAAGAATTTGGAACGAAAGGTAGAATCGCAAAGATTGAAGTCGCGTTTGTGACAATAGTAGATCCTTGTGACGGAGGGAGCGAGCCACTTTAGGTGACGTAGAGTTCGCACTGCATCTCGCAACTTCAATTCAGCTTTTTAACGTCTTTCGGTTTCCTTTTTCGCTTTACAGTAATCGTTCGAGGCTCGTCGACCATAGTTCAGCGCAGTGCTACGGGGAGTGGATGCCCGCCCCACTACGAGCGTCCAACCTTGGAACAGAAACGTCGCGTTGGGGGTCACTCGCAAAGTGAAAACTAGACCAATGTAAGTCCAGGTGATAAAGGTCTTACGGATATAGCGTACGTGACCTCCGAGAATTCGTGGACTTCGCTAGACATCCACCTCACTGTCACTGTCGGTCCTGACACCCAGCGTATCCACCCAATTGTCTCCACCTCAAGCATAATGTCCAACCCAAATTCTCTACCAGACATCGAGGCGGTCCACAGAAGCGTCGGACTGATCACGGCCTCCTCCGCCCCACTACCCATACCTACTGCGATTATCGCTGATCAAGGCGCCTACTGTAATGTAATCTGCACGAAATACATGTGAGGCACAGACTGACGTCACACCCAAACATCTAGACATGATCTGCTTCGAGCCCGACAACGCCGGTATCATCACGACCCCGCCGCTCTCTGCAAGGAAAGACTTCGTCGCCGCAAACTATCCAGACCTCGTCCAAGCTTGGAACAGGAATAAAAAGGATGACTGGGAAGAAGCGGTACGGATGAAGCAGAGCATTACCGACTACGCGGTCTTTTTCCGGGGTAGGCAGCGCGCTGGCGTATTGGCAAGACGCGACGCGGGAGTAGCATGCGATCAAAAGTTGCTCCCGGGGATGAAGCGCCATTTCGGTGAGTTGCGACCCTGTGCAACACATGCTCGGGAGCGGGGTACCTTCCTGATCTGCAACGGCTGTCGTGTCGCGCATCATGCGCAGGTAGAGCGAGACTTCGAGCGGAATCTCCTGATGACGGAAGGAGCGCGCGTGCCAGTGTGCGGGTTCTGCGCGAGGAGGTCGGTCCTGGATCTCGGAGAGGGACACCGAGGTTGTGCATGCGATCAAGACTGGCAGTGTTTTCGGTGTCGAGAGGACTTTCTCAGGAAACTCGCAAAAGCAAGGCAGCGGTCGCACGTGGAGGGGAAGTGTGGGAAATGCGATAGTGTGGATGACGTCGTGGAGCATGTGAAAGTATGCCTCCTCTGTCAGGGAGTGAACGTGTATAGCAAGCATGTGTGAAGGATGTTGAGATACGACAAGAGCGGACATTTCGGACTCGTGTTTTGGAGCTTCATGGAGAAGATACATAGCCGTTGCATTAAGAAAGTCTACTTTACCTGGAACAACGAAAATGCAATAGCAGCATTGACGAAGTTGAACCAAATGCACGTCGCTCTTTTTTTCGCGCAACCTCAGTACCGTGGCGTGAGTTTGACATCTAGCTTCCCCACTATGATAGTAAAGCAGTCTCGGGTCTTGTTCTCGATTGTACTGCCATCCTCACCCTCAGCAAAAGAGATCTCGAATGATCTAACAAGATTGGCAGTGACACTTCGCAGCTCCATCATGGCTAGCTTCTGTCCGATACAGTTGTACGGTCCAACGGAGAAAGGCAGATAGGCACGTTTGTCGATGATAGCACCAGGTCGTTCGCCGGTCCATCGCTCTGGCATGAAAGACAGCGGCTCTTCAAAGTATCGTGGGTCGCGTTGCAGGCTGTAGAACGGCATCCATACGTTAATTCTTCCGGGTATATATGTGCCGTTGGGTAGAGTTATTCCTTCAGGTGGTGTCTCGCGCTGCGCTCCGGAGGGTGTCTGAATGTGTTAATGATGTCAATGATGGCCTCCTTGGGTGAATACTTACAGCAGGATGAAGGCGCAAAGTCTCGTTGATTATCCCATCCAGATAAGCACACTCGGTGACGTCTTCAACATCAAGATGCGCTTTCTTCGTTTCGATTTCATCAACTGCGGTGCGCAGCTTGGCTTGGGTTTCCAGATTCTTGCACAGCTCGTACAAAAGAAATGATAACGTTGCAGCCACGGTATCGCTGATGATCATGTCAGTATTCGGGACTTTAGCTGGAGGTTGCAACAGGATCAAGTGCAATGCCGTATCTAGGCAAAACCTCGTAACGCCTGGCACCAAGTACATCATGGGGTTGCTTACCTGCCCGCTATGACCAGAAGCCGCGAATCAGAATTCATCTCGGGCGTTATCCGGTCGTCATTTGGGTCCAGCAGAGAAGAGAAAACGTCCTTCTCTTTGGGTGTATCCTGGTATTCGTGAGAAAGCTTCGTTGAGATGGAGGTTATCGCCATGGCATGCGTACCTTTTTCCGCTCTTCGAGAACTTTTGCACTCCAGGCTATATGCTCAAAGAGGGGTCCAGAACCGACAGGTGTTAGTGCGATAAGCCGCATCGCCCAAGAGATGTGCGCAAAAACACTTATGGGTGCGTGGCTCTCATGCAATAGCTTGATGACAGGATCTTCTTTACCCTTCTTCATCATGTCAAAGCTGCGGTTGAAGCCGACATCTCCCATAACATCAAAGCTGTAGAAGTTGACCCAGTCTGTAATTCGAACTGAAGATCGTGTAGCTCGCTCTTTGAGCTTGGACATGAGAGTAAGAGCATGGCGGTTCAAGCGAGGCTCATATTCGCGGAGAGCATTTGCGTTGAATGCACGATCCCACATCTTGCGCCTTTGTCGATGTTCATCTTTGTTAGTTGTGAAATGAAGAGAACGCCCTGCCACTTCGGAAATACTGTCGTATATAGTGTTCTTCTTGCACTTCGAAGTCGCTCCATGGATCAGAGGAACTGCGTCAGCGCAGTAGACCGTGACTTCTACATTTGGACAGGCAAAGTCAGTGTCTGTGTCACACACACCTTCATTGTCTTGGGCTTACCTCTAGGACCAGTACGAATGACGTCTTCTCCGTACTGCTGGGGTAAAGAGTCGAGCCATGAGAAATACTGGAAGTTGGTCGAAAGTACGCCGACCGAGATGCCGTATGACTTTGAGAATCGGGCGAGGAAGGGGCCAGGGAACTTTGCAATGTCAGCAAATCCTACTTGATCAACGTCAACGAGGCGCTTGCCTTCCGCAAGCGATGGAAGAATCCCCTATGCAGTAATATGCTGGCAATCAAGATGGCGAAATAGAATGTTGCCGTCCTTGCGGCAAGCTGGATTGCGACACCAAGAGATTTAGTGGACGTATCAGCAACATATTCCAGAGTTGCAAGGCCTCCAAAGGCGACAGTCCAGGCCCCAATGACTGTGTGGAAGGTGTTATCCCAGTCGCTTCGGTGAAGAGCATAGTGAGTTGCCAATGCTAGTGACGCGATTAATGTTTTGCTGTGTGCAAGCTCCATGATTCCGTACGACATGGTAGCTGATGGAGAAGGAGATAAAATGTCTCGAGAGATGTTGGAATGATGAAGGGGTGAGGAGCTCAAGAATGGAAGGTTGGACCCTGGAAAGC